TATATATGTATATATACATACGGTAAGTATGGTAGAAGTTTATCAGGTAGAAGTTTAACAAAAAAAGGGAAGAGGAGAAGGAGGGATGGAGAAGAAAGTAGCGAATGGGAGTAGTTGCAGGGACACAGAGGGGATTCCCTGTAGTATCATCAATATACAGGTGAAACTCGAATAATTAGAATATCGTGCAAAAGTAATTGCAGTAAGTGCTGCAAAAGGGGCCCAAACCAAGTACTGAGTACATATGCATGCTTGTACTTTTCAGAGGTCCGATATTGTTCTATGTACAATCCTTGTTTTATTGATTGCATGTAATAATCTACTTTTTTGAGGTTGTGGATTTGGGGTTCTTGGGGTTTTCATGAGCTGTAAGCCATAATCATCACAATTATGACAAATCACGGCTTGAATTATCTTACTTTGCATGTAATGAGTCTATCTCATATATTAGTTTCACCTTTTAAGTTGCATTAGTGAAATAAATGAACTTTGCACGATATTCTAATTATTCGAGTTTCACCTGTATAAAACACCAATTACCAACCAACAGAGAGAGACTATTTTAACAAGTTCCGGCCCTCAGGGGATTCCATGCTCCATCCAGTAAAACCATGTCTGGAGATATCGTTCCCGCCTGTTTTGGAAGGACAAAGTCAGGTCCTCCATTTCTCTAACTCCTCCACTCTGCGTATCCACATAGGCATTGTAGGGGGGAGGGGCTCTGCCAAAGGCCAGGAATACAGGATTTAGCAGCGTCCAATAAATGGTGCACCACAGATCGTGAGTAAGCTTTCCTGGATATATACGTGTTGTGTAACAGGAAAATAGATGGGTCCGCAGGTATATCAGATTCTGTGCCATCCAATCCATGGGCAAGTCCAGAAAATATGAAGTAGGGTGCTTTCGTCAGAAGTACATCTCCAGCAGACATTGGTAACCCCTTGGTAAAAAATGTGTAAGAGCGCTGGAGTCCGGTACCATCTTGTGAGGACCTTATAATTAGTCTCTTGATGTTTCATGCAGATAGAAGAGCTCAGAGTAAAATGAATAATGTTCCAACATTGAGCCTCAGAGAATGTGGTCATAAGCTCATGCTCCCAACGTATCAAGTACGTAGGTTTCTCAGACGTTGGGGGAGTAGAAAGAATAATGTATATTATTGGCGGGGTTTGTCTCTATGTGAGAAGTGATCTTAAATCTGAAGGGGAATCGATGTTATGGACTGCTCCAATGACACCCAAGGTTTAGTCTCCCCGTGTCTGCACCAGTCGACGACTCGCGTCAGGTGGGAAGCCATGTAATACAGGTAAAGGTCAGGAAGGCCCAGGCCACCCACCAGCTTTGGCCATCGAAGGACCGACAGGCGGAGTCTGGGGGTCCTAACTGCCCAAACGAAGGAGGATACTGCTGCTTGGAGGGAGCGGAAGTAAGCCAGAGGGATTCGTATTGGTAGGGCCTGGAAGGGATAGAGGAAGCGTGGAAGGATATTCTGTTTTACAACATGGTGTAACCAGTCCAGGAAAACGTTTTAATCACCGGGATAAAGGTCCGCGCGCGCTGCTGGCGTAACACTTGGGGGCGAGGGAGCGGCTACATTGATTACCGTATTCGTAGAAGTGCGGCACTTGGCGAGTGTGGCTTTGGCCTTGTCCATCCCAAGTGAGCGGAGGGCTTCTCGGGCTGCCAGCAGCTGAGCCAGGACAGCTGGGTCATGGCGTCTTTTCGTTTCGTTCAGTCGCCATCGCCATCCGCGCGGAGGCAGCAGGGTCAATTCAAGGGTCAGCAGGATTGGAGCATGGTCCGAGTAGGTAATGTTCCCAATCTCCGTGGTGCATACCGAAGGTAGGGCACCATGAGCGACTAGGAAAAAATCTATACGGGTGTATGTGTCATGGACCAGTGAGTGGAATGAGTAATCCCTAGTGGTGGGGTGCTGTATCAGCCACACGTCGGCCAATTGGTGCGAGTGAAATAGTTTCCGTAGTCACCGTAGGGCGGAAAAGGGCAGGTGGGAGGATGGGTCAGTGGAGTCTGTCTCAGGATCCATGTGCAAATTGAAATCCCCTCCCAAAATTAGGATGCCCTCCCGGAAGTCGTCCAATGCATTCAGAACCCGCTCAAGGAAGGCAAGCTGTCCCTGATGGGGCACATAAATGGTAGCCAGGGTGACCCGCTGGGAGCCGATCATCCCTTCACCATCAGCAGTCGCCCCTCCTCACCCGCAGACACCTCGAGTAGTTGCCACGGTAGCGACCCAGATATCAACACACTTACTCCCTTGGATTTCTTATCCGGCGAGTAGCTATGGTACACTGCTGAATAGCGACGGTCACGGAGCAGAGGGGCCCGCCCCTCTGCAAAGTGAGTCTCTTGGAGGAAGGCCACGTCCCTTGGAGGAAGTTCGGCGTCCCAATGGCCCTTAAAGGCACTCTTGGGATC